TTACCGATAAATCTATTAGAATATTGGAGGGTTTTAAATCCCTATATACAAGTCCTTTCTCATGAAATTCCTACGAATGAAAAAGGATTTAGTCATTGTATACTTCAAATGTAAAAAACTTAAGTGGTTATTACATTTAATGTGGCACTTATATTCTTTGCAAGAACGACTAATTCGTTCTTGGTAAACTTGTGTTAATTTTTGATAAGCTCTTATAAAGTTCCATCTTTTATCCTAAAATCAAACAATTGTTAAGTAATATAACAAAAAAAAGTAAATATATCTAAGTGTAAATGATAAACTACCATTCCATTACTAAAAAGCTTTTTTTGGTTTTTTCGTAATAAAACCGCCAAAAATCTGTAATACGTTTGGCTAAAATTGTAGAATGAACTAATAAATTTCTGTAAGATTAATAAGAAAAGCAATACAATTTCTTTTATTTTTTAAACATATAATATTCCTGAACAAGGAAATATTTCAAAGAACGCTTTAAAACACAAATATCATTGTTTTCTTGGTTTCGAACTTTAAAAACTGAGCCAAAATCGCCCCTATTAAATAATTAATAATAATCAAAAAAAGGAATATAAACTAAAACAATATATAAAAGAATACTTACTACCCTAACTGACGGATTATCATGTACTTATGAACTGCACATTTTGAGAAATTATCTAACAAATAAATATCTTTACATATATTTTATACTGGAATTTAAATACTCAATATGTTGAATACGTGAAAATATTACCTTTATTTGGTATTTCGTTACTACTAATTGCGTCAACAGTTGTTTCATCATCTTTGTCATATAACTAATATCATTATGTTAGAGGAATGTAAATGATTATACAAAATTGAACTCTATAATTACCAATAAGCTTCCACAGTAACATTCCCATAGAAGAAATTTAACTAAATTATTAAAATTTAAAACAACCCAATTAATTAGATCACGAGAATTGTATTATTTAAAGTTCTTTACATGTAAGAAATTGGTAAGATGGAATTTAATCGTTCCATTTGATAAAACACTACTCACAATTCGCAGTAAATTCATTAAGGTGTATTAGGAGTAAGCTACCTTCAACAATTACGGTATTATCACCGGCATTATTTAAAATTGACTTTTCTCCTTTCAGATTGATGTAAGATACGTTTCCACTGTTATTG